ATTTTACCTAATGACACTAAAAATATATCATTCCCCGTATTTGTTGGCAATGGTCCCCTTCACTGTTGGTCTGGGAAGCCTGCACTTCACAGAGCTCCTCAGGTGCCCCTATGGAAAAGCTATTCTAATATTCAAGATCTCACTTCTTGACTATACAATATCATCTGCACTACATTTGCTTAACTGGTAATTATGTTTTGTATTATACAGAATGCAGGGAACTAGGGAAATCTAACTGGTGTTTGAAGATGGGCCACATGGTTAAAAAAATAATGTGAATAGAACTTTCTTCTACAGTTCTAAGCACCATCCCTCCATCAGTCTCCACCATCATCTTCATCCCCAATGTACTGAAGGAGAGGTGTTTTTTGTTTTTTTTTTAATATATATACAGATTGTACAGACCAAAAAAAAAAAAAAAAAAAAACAACAACAACAACAAAAAAAAAAAAAACTAGCAATGCTGATATAAACTTAAAATCAAGGAATGTGAATAAAGAGTACAAGTTTAATAATGTAATATAAAAGGAACATTTTTTATTTTAAATAGATTACACATCATCCTTGCTGGTCAGCTTTAAGTTTTGTGTATGGGACTATCTGTGACTACTAAAAGAAACCCAAAAAAAATGTTTCAGTGAGTGCCTGGGAAATAGCATGGCTTACTAGGTAAAGAGAAAGTGATGATGGGGACAGAGAATGGGCTGATTGCACAATTCTACGGCTACTGAATACAAAAGCGCTCTTGTGACCAGGATGGTTCACAAGAACAAGGAATCTTTTCTAAGTCCTCAAGCAAATGACAGAAGCGTGATGACTTGTATTTATTGGTTTGCTTCCTAACATAAAGAAATGAAGTTATGTTAGAAGGGCTTCTCTCTTTAAGAAAATGCCAGAAAGCACATAGCCTGGAACCACAAGGAAAATAGTGAAATATGTATTTGACATTAGTTCCTTGTATATCTTGCCTTTGTTACACTCTTGGATTTACCTAGATGACATTACTAGGTTAAAGGAACGCTGGTACGATCTGAATTCATTACAAAATGAGTAGTTATACCTTTTAATTGAAGGTTGCTTGGGATTTGTTGACCTAGATTAATGATAAAAGAAGAACACATCCCTGTATTTGTGCCATGCAGTTTTCTTTCTCCAATTTTTAGAAGGGAATATAAGAAAGGTTAATCAAAGAGATAAGGGACTAGTAATTAACTCAAGTTCCATTTATTTTATTTCTCGGCCTCCTCTTTCTCATCATGCTGTGATAAATAGAAATGGTTTCATTGAGGAAACTAGGGATAACCACTAACCCTTTTGTACAATGGACATGGAAGAAACTCACTTTTCACATTGTATCCATTTAGGAAACAGATCAACTTAAAATAATTCCTTTATTTCACTCCCCTTCAGTATTGGAAACTGCTATAATTCAAACAAAGAGGTCTCACCGTTGCATTGTTGTTGCTTTACAATGCTGGTAAGACTCAGAATCATATTATCTCACTTTATTTTAATATTGTGAGTTCAGGGAAGTCCATCCTTGATTTAAATATGAAAGAAGCAAAACATGTAACATGAGGAAATCTTGACTTCCCTTGGGGAAATAGAGAAGAGGCTGACACAGAACTTAAGAGATAATCATATGATGTTGAAGGCCAAACTTAAATTATGGAGAAGAATAATTCTTAAACTATTCAACATCCTGAAACATTTTCTAATAGGGCAAAAATTTGACGAAAGATTCAGCATCTCCAGGACAGGGTTCATTCTCATTTACAGACCTAATGACTTTGATCTCTAATTATGCTTACTGCACATTTTAATTATCTGGCTAAAATAAGCTGTGAAAAATCAAATAGCATGTCTATTTTGTGAAATGATGCGTAAAATCTGCATGTGTATAAAAACAGGTGCAGAAAATAATTCAGATTCAAAGTCAGAACATTAACTTTGTGTTAAGGAATAGTACTGCACTTGGAGAGAAGTAAAAAGCTGAACTCAGGTCTTCATGGGTATTCCATGTGACAATGAAAAGCCACCAAGATTGTTAAATGTGTATACAGACCCTTAGATCAAAACCAGTATTTTCACCAAACTTACATAGTGATCTATTTGAAAATATATCATTGATTCAGTATAATTCTTATGTGAGTTTATTTGAAATAACCATGAATTAACTACCATTAACCCATAAATTTGATAGTTTTCAACCACCTATTTTGAAGGTTTTCTGTAGGTTGATATGCAAGTGGTAAAGTTTCATGTCATTATTTAAAAAGCATTTTTAATATATTGACAAATCCCAATATTGGGTTGGATTTTATAAAGGCACACGCATCGAGATCCAAAATATACCTGGTAGCTTTTCTGAATTCTCACACTCCAAGATTCAGAATTTAGAATCTCTGATGGGGACGGTCACAGACCGCCAGGACTCTGGGAAGTGATGTCCGCATCTCTTCTCTTGAAGAGACAACACCTGTAGCTCATGTAATTATTACCCAAGAGGAGGCTTATCATTCAAGAGAAGTTATTTTCCCATGAAGAAATTATATATTAAATATATGCTAGTCACCCACCCTTAGTATTATGGTTAATTCAGTTTCGTGTCAATAAAAGTGTCTGTTCAATTGATTTGAGGTATTAAATGCATTTAAGCATAAAATAAGCAGATCAGTAGCATTTTGTAGATACTAAAAGAACTGGAAAATTTGAAAATATTCATGACAGGTGCGTGGTGATTTATCCATTTAATTTATCTTCATGTCTTCATTATTGCGTATGGAACACACCATGACATACATATCAAGTGTGGTATCACCCCATTCAAAAATAATACTGTCCACTGAGAACTCCTAAAGAGGTTAAACAATAAAAAACAGGGCAACTAATTTTAATGATAACCCTGGAGTGCCATTTGAATTAATGAACACGAAATCACATATAGTAACAAATATAAATTGAGTATGCAAACAGGGAAAGGTGAATTTTATCATAAGTGATACGTGTAAAGTCTGCATCATATTAAAGAGAGAGAGAGCATTCATTGTGTCAGTACATTTCCTTAATGAACAATTTGCCAACTGCATTCAAAGGAATGATCCTTTTAATATTATTTTAGGTTTTTGTACATGTATCTTTGTGTAATGTTTGTGTACACATGTCTGTGTGTTTGTGTGCATGTGTGCACATGCATATATGTGTGCATGTACGTTTGCCGAGGCCAGAAGTTGACAAAAAGTGTCTTTTCTCACTCTGTCTTTGTTATGTTGACCTCGAAAGGGTCTCTGGCTGAACTCAGACATCTTCTGTTCAGCTGGTTTAGTTAGACTAGTGCTTCTCAACCTATCTAACCCTGCAACCCTCTAATGTTGTAGCGACCCACCCCAACCATAAAATCATTTCTGTAATTTGGCTACTGTTTGAACTGTGATATATAAATACCTGCCTTTTCCAATTGTATCAGGCTACCCCTGTGAATAGGTTGTTTGGCTGCCAAAGGGGTTGTGATGCATAGGTTGAGAACTACTGAGTTAGACTACATGCTGTGGCAATGTCCTTCTCTGTCTTTAGAGAGCTGAGACTACAGGTAGACCACCAAACCCACCTGCCACTTATGTCCCTGTGTGGCAAGTACTCCACAAGGCATGGTGATCATATTGCAACCATATTCAAGAACTGCTGTAATTCTTTAGTTTTTCCTATCACAATTTACTTTATCTTCATTTATATTTTAACACATCAGAGATTGGCCTGCTAAAAGAGACACGTCAAGGAATATCCATTTAGACTATAAAAGAAAAGTTGTATTTTGACAATTTTTTTGAAAAGAATAAGCAGATATACTGTAATTATTCTTTCATAATTAATTTTGGAAGACTACAAATCCTTTATTAGAAAAGGTATCCATTCAGTGTTTATGGGGGGGGTACATTATAATTCAATGGAAGTTACGTGAACAATGAGTTTTAGTTTTTCTGTGTTAAACTCAGTACCAATTAAGCATCTAGGCCCATGTGTGTGTGTGGGTAAGTCAGAATGGTATAGTGTAGTCATAAAACAGTCTGTGATTTTGAAGGAGTGACTTAGAAAGACTCTTAATACAAAAGGCATATATTCGTAAGATGTTAGAAATCAAATATTCAGGGAAGCCTCAATATTAAATGACATTTTGTAATCTAGAGTGTAGGAAGAGTTGACATTAATAAATCATGTGCTCATTTAACTCTGCATTGTATCACAACAGAAGAAAGCATTTCTCTTAACTCAGATTAGGAAATTATTATACATTTTATATATGTGTATATATTTATATAAAAGTTACAAGTAGCAAGCATATGGCACAAAGAAATGGAAGATTAACAGCAATATTTGAGAATGCATGCTTTTTACAATGTGTCTAATAAAGACAGAGTGTTGTTTTTTTTTTTTTTTTTTTTTTTCCAACCTAAATATCCAGTACTGACATGCAGGGGATTTCCTCAAACTTGTCAATTCAGTCATATTGCTAAGTGCTTAATCAAACAAAATTCTGTTGTAGTATATGAATGGAAAAATACCTGATTTCAGAAAGGCATTTATGAAACTCGGTATCTTCCCTTGATGAAAACAAAAAGGAAATCAGGGGTACATAGAAGTGATAAGGGGAGACAGAAAGAAAGACAGAGGGGGGAGATATTTGTCTTATTGCAATCTAGATTTTACTCTTATTTACTGCACTTAATTATAATGAAAAACAAACAGACAGACAGGTGTGCACAGTCTACTGAACCTCTAGCTGGTGTTTCCACGATCCACATTTCCACTTTTTCATTGGAGCATGTTCAAAAACCACGCAGGAACGCACTATTCTCAAGCAGTCTACGCAATGAAAACAATGTACACGGAACACAAGGTTCACCCCAAAGTTGTGTTTTTTGTTTTTCTCACAGATCACAGAGGTACAATCATGTAACAAAGATGTGAATAACATACAAATGGAAGTGAGGTTGACTGGTAAAAGTAAAGCTGGGGTAGTCTTAATCAGGAACTAATTTCTTCTTCAAGTTTCCGTAAATCTCAGAATGTATTTAAAACCTAAGGAGCACTTGGTGATCAGCAACCAAATTAGGGAATGGACACATCATTGCTCAGCAGCAGGGATGTCTTGCCGAGGGAATAACACATGTCTGTGACTCTTTAAGTTTGGGTAAAGGCAGTGGAATGGATTTAAAAATATGTCCACTTTTCACAATTCGCTACAGAATTCCCTTTTCACAGTCCCCATGTGTGTATAAATAGTTCTCTGAAAATAAAGCACAGTTAAAACATTTTTTTTCCCTCCCGATGAATAAGATGCAACAAACACACCAGCTTATTAAGTTCATACAGCGCATGGGATGCGTTCTCCTAATTCAAGGACAGTTGATAGGCTCGAAGAGTTTTGAGGAGATCAGCTGTGAAGCAAATTTAATTGGAAAGGAGTTAGAGTAAAATCAGCTCAGGCAGCCAGGTGAAGATGTAAAGCTTTTGTAATAGCTCATGACAAATAGATGCTCGTGTGGACAACTGAAGGCTATGAGGTTTTTAAAACACGAAACACTCAATTTTATTTTATGAAGTTTCATCAACATGCCACATATAACTTTAATGAGATAAGTTAATCATTCATGCAAAAATAAGACCACACAAATTGTATAAATACCCGGCATTGAATTTGAATAGGATATAGCCAAGTTATGTCAGTGATTGTAAGTAAAATGCATTCACTTCAGTTACTTTAAGAGTAAATGTTGTTCAATTATTTTGTTTTGTTTTTAAACTTGGCTTGCTGAACTAGTCTTTGGAAGAAAGTTCGTTGCTTTTATTATCTTTGTCCTACAATGTAAACACTAGCTTATTCTGTTGATGAACAATGTCTAATAGAAGAATATTAAAATTTAATATAAAACTATGTATCTTAAGAATAACCGCTCCATTATCACCACATCCTTTATGCCTCTAAATATGAAATGCCTTGAAATAGGCAGCTTAAAAGTAATGGATAAATAACACACTCTTTGAAATACTGTAAGACACTTTAAGAGAAACAGAACAAAATAGAACATGGCAAAGGGCATTGACTTACCTTGAGTTTTCGTTTTACACCCTAGTTGTGTTGTATTCGGATTCATGTTTGCTTAGAGATCCAATGAGGCAGAACCTGGAATGTTATGGCTATTTCATTCAACAAAGTAATATTTGCTCAAAATATAGGCATATATATTCACTTAAAGAGCATCCCTAAATTTAACAAAGCAATAAAATAGTATTTCATCAGCATGCATGAACATATTAAATCAACTTAGATATTTTATATTTCATGAATAAAATTTATACTACTGTAGAGTTAAATAAATTATGGCAAACATAAAAAAACAGCATAATTCAACTAGCTCTTAAAATTTAAAAAATAAACCATTTCTAAATCCAAATTTTCTGCTCATTTTTACTCATTTTTAGAAATATTAACATTTAACACAAGATATTCAATATATAAATGAAAAATGAATAAAATGTCTCCCAATATATTCTATACTTAAATATATTCTTGGCATTTTATCATTCAATGTTATAAAATATAACTGTGATCTGAATATTACATTATATGGTGAAATATACTTTCATTTTCTTACCAAAATAAATATATCTATTGCAAAATGTTTTATTTTTGCATTAAAAATATTCAGTGAGATAGTACAGTTATCTTGGTAAGGCAACAGTTTCATAATACTATTTTCTGTCCTGAAATATAATATTGATGAGAGCAAAAACTATCACTACGTGAAGTCAAATTAGTTGCATAAATCTCTACTGTAAATGAAGGGCCCTGTTTTCTGTAGAGATGGTTTTTATATATACATAAATAAACAAAATATCTTTGGTCTGTGTGTACATGTGTCGTCACACACATGCACATTTCATGCACATGTAGGGATTTTAGACAAACAGACTAGTGCTAGGAAGATCAAGGGGAGATGGTTTCAACTATTATTCATAGGGGAGGTGAGCGTGAAGACAGACTCTACACAACACAATGCTGTGGGAGCATTTCTGTCTTCAGTTAACGGTTGCCATCAAATATCTATGCATACTGACCGCTGGACGGATTTCTCATGTCTGGATAGCCTGTGGCTTGTGGTGGGCACCTCCTCAATCTCGTCGATGTCACAGGCATCAGCAGCATCTTGCGAGTAGTTGTGTTTCATGACCAGGATGTTCCTTCTGTTCACGGGTGGGATGAGGGGCTTGACTGGCTGGGTGGGTATCTCTGCCAAGATGGAAGCGTCCCTTGTGCTGAGGTTACTGCGGCTGCCTTTTGCGCTGGACAGTTGGGATCCACAGTGATGGTCATGGATGCATTTGGAAGATGATCTCCGCAGTTTGTGATAGTTATCAAAGTCGTCTGCGAAGTCAGCCGTGGCTCCGGTCCCTCTGAGCGTGCATAACTCATAGTGAGGAGGCTCAAACACCTCCTGGAAAACGGTCTGGTCAAAGTCTGACTTCCTTTGGACGTATTTTTTACGAGGCTGTTTGATCTGTACAATGACAGAGATGATAATAAGGATGATCACAATGCAGGAAGTCACGCCAATGACCGTCCCACTGGTGTTGGTCAGCTGATCCAGCAGGCTGGTTTTCCTCTTTTCTGTAGGCAGGAGAGAGTGACGACAGACAGACAAGAGGAGAAACAACCCACCACACGTTAATATCGCCTTCAAAACGCAAATCCAAACTTAAAAAAAAAAAAATTCTCAGCCCTAAATTACCGCACAACGGTGCCTCAAAATAAAAATTCTGTTTTCACAAGGGCTCTATTTTCCATCCATAAAAGCAAATATTTACTTCCTACTTTTGTTTTTGTTTTTGTTTTCCAAGACAGGGTTTCTCTGGAGCCTTCCTGGAACTCCGTCTGTAGACCAGGCTGGCTTCAAACTCACAGAAATCTGCCTGATTCTGCCCCCCCCCGCCCCCACCGGAGTGCTGACATTAAAGGTGTGAGCCACCAATGCCCGGCTACTTCCTACTTTTAATGTATAACATGTATACATATTAGTGTACCTGTGTGTGCAAAGGCAGATACATGCTAAAACTTGCATAAAACTTACACCTGTCTTTCTCTCTATTACTGCTTGACAGGGAGAAGGAAAGTTATAGAACTGAGGCATTTTGATACGGAGATTAATTCAACACAAAATCACAGCAGACATTTGTAGAAGCATGAGAAGTTGCACACATTTTCCCCAAACAAAAACTATGATAAAAATTGACCACTAAAATTGGGGAATAACGGAGGTGAGGAAATTTTCCTCTGAGTGGGTAGCGAACGGGCACATACAGGAAAAGTGCACACACGCACGGGGGGAGAGAGTGTGCTCAGGAGAAAACGTCTGCACGTACAGAAGCTTGAACGATTAATTGCAGATAGGCATTCTTATAGACGTACTAAAGGAATTAATCCATTCCCCTAAATATAAAACAAAATGTGTGAGAATTCTTCAGGAAGAGTGATCATCCAAGGCATTTAAGCAACGCCTCCCCCACCCCCCCAAAAAAAACCCTTTGAAATCATCAGCTGTCTTTCAGGGAAGCTGAAGTTAAATGCTCCATCTGCAAAGATGGAAGAATAAAAGTTCTGGGGAGTGAACATAGCACCAGGAAAATGTATCAAGTAATGAAAACAGTTTCCATTGGGCAAACTTTCCTTACTACCTCAGTTCCTCAACAGATACTGGGCAGGGCTTCTCTGCTTCTCTCTCTGTAGAAAGTATTTTGATAGATCATCCTAGAAATTTAAGTGTGAAAGAGTTCCTTGTTTATCTTCTTTTGAACTGAGTCTAACATTCAGCTTTAATAATGGATTGGTTTTTTTTTTTTTTTTTTTTTCATGTTAACTAAAATGGAGCATTACCCATCCAACAAGCACCATTTAAAGAACCATATGTTGGTTGTGGGCTGGTCCACAGGGCAATTATTTTGTAGGAAAGAAAAAAAAATCTTCTTAGCAAGAAGATCCTTAACATGCAAAAAAAAAAAAAAAAAGCACTGGAAAAAGCTTGAATAAAGGAAAATAGAAGAAATTTAATAGGGTACAAAGGTGTCATGGAGTGTGGCCCTCCACTGCTGGCTGCTCCTTTCTGCCTTTGGCCCTGCAAGCCCTCCTGAGGTATCTTTGATGAGTGTTCTGTAGTGTAAGCAGAGTCCACTGTCATTATGGATGAGGTCTCCAGGCACACTGAGGCGTGAAGATGGAGACTATTTACAAACTGACTCTAAGGCGTATGCAAAGGCCAACAAAGCCACACCCTCTGTTCTATAACACCTAAGCAGAGATAGCTCCTCCCTACTCCAGGGCTCTGTTTCCATTACCTTTACAGTGATTTTCATCCCAGGGGTATACACAGTTCTGGAGCCCATTGCAGACTAGCGTGTTGTTAATACACATGTTACTGTGACAGAAGAACGTGTTTCCTTCGCAAGGAGCTAAGGGAAGGAAAGGGGGTGGGGAGAGAGAGAGAGAGAGAGAGCATGATGAAAAGGGAAAGTCATATCCAATGCTCTTTGGCTCAGCAGTCACTGAAGGTCTTGACAGGAACCAGGATGTGCCTTTAATAAGACATGGCACTGGATTTTCAGAAAGGCTGACACAGTGATCATTATTCCCAGTGACTGGAGGCTCAGGTTATTATCAGGACAGTGTCTTTACTCTCATCAATACATACAACTTAGAAAAATTCATGTACTTTCCCTGGGCATACGCATGCTCTACACAGCAGTTCTACACACATGCATTTAGATTTACTATACAAAGCATTAATAAAAGTTGGTATAGTTTGAAAATATTATGACAGGTACTATAGAGAAATATATATTGAAAAAACCCATAACCATACTTGAGCATATGTAAAACAAAAGCTCTAGAAATCCAGAACCAACAGAAAATTAATCTTCAACAACCTTAAGAAAATAAGAGAATGCACATAACAATATAATGAATAATTTCCAGAATACAATGCATATTTAGGTAATGGGGGGAGGCTAAAATTAGAACTTCAAAGTGGTAAAAAATATGAGTAGAGAATTATGAAGAATGTGAGGAACAATGATAGCAAATAAAAAATGTCCAACGTAATGTTGGTAGCAGAAAACATGAATTTGTATCACTATTACAGTAAAAAGATCTACTTAGTCTGCACAAATACTGCATTGTGGATTATGGCTTATAGAAATGTTTTTGAACATTTCTTCATCTTTATAACCAGTGGATATATACCTCATTAAGTTTAATTTTTGTGCTAATTTTCCTTAGTAATCATTTAAATCTCTTTTGTATTAATATTTCTAGGTAAGTGAATATAAAAATATGGTATATATGAGATGTTTGAAATTAATCATTCAAGACTTATTGATGATCAATATTATCTAAGATATAATTGCAATAAACTTTATAAATTTCAGAAGTACGTATTTCATATATTTAGGGAAATTAGTTCCTCTACTATATATGCTGTGCTTTTTAGTATGGCCAGGAAAACATTTTGCATATGGTAACTAAGGATATTTTCAAATATCATAATTTTTTATATAGGAAAGTTATTGAATTATGAAAATAAATAGGAAAGCTGAGGGAATGGAGAGGTGGTTGAGTGATTAAGAATGCCAACTGCTCTTTCAGAGGACCGGGATTCACTTCCCATCACCAACACAGTGGTTTACATCTACAGGTAACTCCAGTTCCAGGAGCCTTTCTCATTGGTTGGGCCCATATGTCCCTGTGTGCATTCATTTGGTACACATAAACTCACCAAAGTACAAACTCATACAAATAAAAATAATAAGTATATATTTTTTTATTTTAAGTAAGACATACACAAATTCAGATCCAATGGTTCCACCTGCTCCCTGCCCTGGCTTTCCCAGGAAAGTATTTACTTCCCATAGCTGAGATCTACTCTAGGTTCCTTATATAAAGATTAAAAGACATGGAATATCATCTGGAAAAGCTATAAAAAGAAACGAACCTGTGGCAGTCATTTTGGAAGTACATTAGTGATTTGTTAAGAGGTCTGTAAATCTCTTATAATGTAAAATTTAGTGATGTGATATAATGTTGCAAAAGTTTACTTTTCAATTTGGGAGTAAATTTAATTTCCTAATGCTTTGTAGAACAAATACGGGCTGCTACACAGACAATAACTGTTTTCAAAATTTGTACATAAAACATTAAGGTATTTCCTAGATTAGACATGCTGAAAAATATGCTTGCGTGTAAAGCAGAATGTGATGATACATTATTTATGATTTATTAAAGTTTGCTCGAGGATTCAGAAAGGAAAGTCAGTCTCAAGCTATAAAGATCATTCAGTGGTTGCTCAGACCTTTAACCCCAGGACTCAGGATTAGGAGGTAGAAAGATCTCTATTTTAAACAAGAGTGAAGGATAACAGCTCATGCCTTCGACCCCAACATTAGGAAGCATCTGCTCTCTTCCACCTGCAACAAATCTACATTTTCATTTTCATTAGATGCTGACTTTGCCTTCCATTCAGTACCAACTATTGGGTCTCTGGTGGGCTTATCCACTTCTGACATTTCCCTGGATGTGAGGCTTCCTTTCTTAAGCACAGTCCTTTCCTCTCTTTCTGGCTCTTCTGGAAGTCCTGGTACCGGTGACTGTGTCTCCAAGGCTCAGAGCCCTTGGACCCCACCCTTTGAGTGATGACTCACTGGGTGGTCTGTGCCAGTCTCTGAAATTGGCCCTCTGAATTTCTGAGACACTAGGAATTGCAGACCCTTGGGTCTTAACTTCTATGTTTAACTCATGGGAGCTTTGTTATAATCTATATCTCCTTGCTCCCACTGGGATGCTTTTGGAGACCCACTGAACCCTCTAATCAGGTGTTGTTTCAGGGCTACCAGCTGTTGTCCATAGAGCTGGAGGCTCAAAACTACCAAGCATGTCTGGGTGATGCTGTAATAATGGGAAAACGTCAGGTGTTTTAAGCCCTAGGGAGTCTGTTTGGATCCACCAAGAACAGCATTTTGCCAAGTCCAGGAAGCACCTTGATGGTTAAATAGAGCCTGGACAGTGAAGTTAAACAGGCAGCTACTCCAGGACATGATCAGCACCCCAGCTTTTCCAGATCCCCCAAAGATGAATGACATCCCCCAGGTCAGCAGGGGGTAGTCTTGAGAGCAGGGCATCCTCATTCCCCTCACCTGGTACCCCTTTCTAACACCTCATTCTTTTGTAATAACTAAAGAGGGGGAAATGTTAGTATCCAGGCATCAGTACTGGCCTGTCCTTGGGGTTCTGACAGGGTACACCCTCAGCTGCAGCCACTAAGAGCACCACCTGTGTACATTCACTGTAAGCCCTTTTAAAAGGGCCCTGCCCACCTCCCTTTCCTCTCTCTGTTCTTCTCTCTCTCTCTCTCTCTTTCCTCTCTCCCTCCTTCCCCCCCCCTCTCCTGCTGCTCGAGTCTCTGATGGGAGATGTCAGTCTGTATATGTTTCTCATACTGGTTAATAATAAAGCACTGTTGGCCAATAGGAAAGGAAGATAGGAGGGACTAGGAGACAAGGAGGAAAGAGGAAGTAGTAAGGAGGAGTCAGCATGGAGAGACCGGGGAGACCAGACGCTTGCCTCACTCTCCGGTAAGGAGACCACGTGGAAATACGCAGAAATGGGTTAATACTTAAGACAGAGCTAGCTGATAAGAAACAAGTAACCGGGCCAACAGCATTGTATCAAATACAGAGTCCCTGTGTATTATTTGGGGCTGGCGTGGCGGCAGGTGGAAAAAACGTACTCGTTACAAGTCTCTAGAGGCAGGTCTCTCCTCTCCCCTTTTTATGATCCCTTTCCCCAATTAAAAAAATATCCTCTATAAGAGAGAGAGGGAGAGCGAGAGAGAGCATAGCAGTCTGGGATTACAGTCTGACATTTGGTGGAGCCAGGATCACCTTTCTGCCTGAGGTAGAGTAAAAGCTAGTGGCCGGCTGCTTTGCTTTTCTGGTCTTCAGCTGGGAAGTTTGAACCCCAATGTCTGTCTCTGGATCACTGTTTTTCAAGTGTGATTAGTATATTGCTCTGATTTATAATTATCTACCAAGTAAAGAATACCTTTAAGATACTTGGATAGTTTTTGGCCTTCTCCAATGCCTTGCTAATATTGTAATAATTTGTATATCGGATGAGTCAGTTTAAAAATTTTAAATTTATGAATCAAAGGAACATTTTACCTTAGACACAAAACAATGCAATAATGTACTGGACAGATAAGAGTGTTCAGATTAATATTTCAAATAGTAAAGATGTGTTTTTTGTCTTTTTTGCTGCTTCCTAATTGTGAATATGTTAATCAACATGTTCTTTTAGTTATTATATGTTTCAGTTACTGAGACCACAATAAATACAAAGAAATGTCAGAAAATTTTGTTCCAACATTACATCATCAAGCAATGAGAATCGCCATCACTTACCTTAGATCATATTCTAGGTAATAAATACACTATGTTTTTTTTTTCCCTCCCTTATTGTGGTGATATCAGTAGAATTCTTGTACAACTCGCAAATAGGTAAAAATACAAAAAACAGCAGATAAATTCTATGATGGCTATAAAACAAATTTTTAACCTGTTAGCTCTTAAACTAAAACTAAATTTTATAACTAGGCAAACAACAACAGCAAAACTACAGTGTTCAATTCTGGCCTTGCAGACTAGGGCGGAGAGTGTCTTCAAGAGGGACTTTGCTTTGGGCTGTGAGAAATGATGTACTGTTCCCTGGGCCAAAGCAGGATGACTATGACTTGTAAGACATGGGGGTAGTCAGCATTGGGATACTGGCAGGCCAGTCTAAAACTCCCAGTATCCCTCTTCAAACTTTACCATTGAGCTAGCCAACACAATAAATACACGTCAGCTGTCTTAGTAAGTACTGTACTGAGACAATGATGAAAACTAAGGTAAGAGCTTGCAGAGCTAAGGGTGTTGGCCAGGCCTTCAAACACTACAACAGAAAAGCAGGAAGAAGGTCAAGAGGTCAAGGTCACACTTGGCTACATAAGTACCCTGTGACAGAAAAGTGATACAAGGGAAAGTAACCTTTCCAAGTTGAGATTTTGGATACATTCTATCAAGTGAAGGGGCTTAAGTGATGCAAAATAAGCATTTTTTTTTTTGAGAGTTCTCTGCCTTCCACTAAGTGAGACCATTTATTGGATTATTTTGAAAGCAAGTTTTCTGGTTATCATTTCAACTGTCATGTATCACCACAATTTAAGTTATTACCTTTCAGTTCTAGAAAAATAACAAAAGTAGAGCTCATACATATTAAATATCATGATAAATTTAAGTTTTCAGCATATATGTGTTCAAATAAGAGTACAGCTTTGAAAAGACTATAGCTCAAATATGCATATTTATTTCTGATATTCTGTTTTTTACACTTTAACAAGACTATCAAAATAACATTTACT